AAAGAGGGCAGGGGAGAGGGTGTGAGAGGGAGGGTGAGTGAGGGAGAGAGTGTGAAAGGGTGAGTGTGAGGGCAAGAGGGTGAGGGACAGAGAGGGTGTGAGAGGGAGAGAGACGGTAAGTGTGTGACGGAGAGGGTGACTGTGGGAGAGAGTGTGTGAGGGAGAGCATGGGGGGGTGGTGTGTGTGTGAGGGAGAGAGTGTGACAGTCTGTGTCTCTTCAGTGTGCAGGACTCTGCTTGTTTTTCCCCCAGGGCTTTATACTGGGGTGTAGCTCTTCCTTCCCAGTAAAACCCAGTGTAGCCACGTGTGTGCAGCCCCTGCAGCAGGGCTGCGCGTGTGTGTGTGTGTGCAAAACTGAGGTGTGCACAGAGTGCAGTAAGGGGCTGTGCACACACACACACACACACGTGAGGCTCCAGTGCTGTTCCTGCACTCCCTGCCCTCCCCCCAATCACACTCAGCGTAGCCCCTTTTTTTCCCCCAGTAAACACTGACACCCCCCTGTCCACCCGCCCCCCCCCCCCCCCGTAACTCTTTCTGTGCAATCCAGGGAGTCTCTGGTTGTGCAGGAGGAGGTGTGTGTGGGAGTGTCTGAATGCTGCACTAATCAGTTTATTACTGGGGAGTGTGCAGGTCTGGGTGTGCATGTGTCTGTGAGGCTGTGTCAGTTTGTGTGTGAATCTTTGTCTGTGTGTCTCTCTGTGTGCCTGTGTCTCTGGGTGTGCCTGTCTCTGTGTGTCTGTGCACCTGGTGTGTCCCATGATAACCCATGGCCCTGTGCAGCTTCTAGCTGGGCTCCCTGGGTGTGCAGCACAACAGGAGTGTGGGACAGCTCTGCTACCCACACCCCTCCCCCCCCCAGTTAATGAACAGGGAGTTGTGTTTGTGGGTAGTGACTCGAGTGCTGCACTAATCAGTTTAGTACTGGGGAGTGTGCAGGTCTGGGTGTGTGGGTGTATCAGAGGGAGGGTAGCTGCACGTGAGCATGTGGCTGTGAGAGTGTATCTGTGGCTGGGTGTGTCTGGTGGTGTCTGGGTGTGGGTGTGTCTGTGTGGGTGTCTCTTGAGGGGGGGAGGAGGCAGTGAGTCCAGGTGCTGCACTAATCAGTTTAGTACTGGGGCACGTGTGTGTGTGTGTGCAGTGCTGGGGTGCTGTGCAGCACGGGCACTGGCTGTGTGTGTGTGTGCAGTGCTGGGGTGCTGTGCAGCACGGGCACTGGGTGTGCTGCTCTGCAGAGCACCCCCTTCAGGGCTGGGCTTCTCCTGCAGGCGCTGAGCGAGGAGATCAAGCACATGCACGGGCTGCGCATCTTCACCTCCACCCCCCCTGACCAGCGTAACCAATAAAGCTGCTGGTGGGTACTGGGACTGAGTGCCCTGCCCTGCTCCAGTCTTGCCATTTCAATTAAGCAGCTGGGGGGGCTGCAGTGGGGGTGGGGGGGAGAAGAAGAGGAGACTCTGAGAGAAGAGCAGGAAGAGAAACTTTATATTGCCTTGCCAGGCAGGGGGGGGGTCCTTCCTCAGCCCCCCCTGGCAGGGGAAGGGGACACCCCCAGGCAGGGGAAGGGAACAGGCACTTCTTTTCCTCCCCCCCACAAGGCTGCTGCCGAGGGGAGCTTAAGGCTCTGGGTGCACCTCAGCCAAATAAAGCACTTCCAAAAATAAGCTGAGCTGCTCAGGGCTCCAGGGTTGCTGCTCAAGGCCAGAGGAGAACTTGGGAATAGAAAACAGTTGTGCAGCAATTCCAACTTCATCCCGTGGCTGAAGGAAACACCAACCAAGTCTGAGTCCCAGTGTGTGGGTCTTCAGCCACATGGGCTGCACAGGGTGAGGCTCCACAGGGCAACCAACAACCTCAAACCAGCCCGGGCTGCTGCGCGGTGGAGGTGACACTTCCTGATGTCACCAGGGGCTGGTGTCTGGGGCATCGCTGGAGGCGAAGCACAAGGTGGCTGGAGTAGAGAGCAGAGAGGAGAGCCAAGAGGGACCTTTATCTGTCCTTGGAGCCCAGCTTCTCAATCAGTTCCTGCAGAGGAGCCAGCTCCCGCCGGTCGATCAGGTTGAATTCCTGGAAGGAAGGAAAAAAAAAACACAACACAAAAACTAGAGGCACCTCTTGGAGCTGCTGGAAAACATCTCTGAGCACCCAAGTGTGCTGGGACCTCCTTGTGCCCAGAGCCCCACACTGGCCTTGCTGCTGCTACCACCTCTCCTGGGGCTCTATGGAGAAACTGGAGCATTTCAAGACAAGGCAAAGGTTTCCAGCTCTGAGCAGCCACTGCCCAGGCTGGTCAATAGTGGCAAGGAAAGCAAAAAAGGTGCTGCTGCTTCTTCTGAGCTGATTGTTGAGCCACATGCCTGGAAGTATCTCAGGGTGGGTGTGAGGGTGGTGAGAGCCTGGCTCAGGCTGCCCAGGGAAGCTGTGGCTGCCCCATCCCTGGGGGTGTTGAAGGGCAGGTTGGATGGGGCTTGGAGCAGCCTGGGCTGGTGGGAGGTGTCCCTGCTCGTGCAGGGGGGTGCAGGAGGATGGAGCCAGACTCTGCTCAGCAGTGCCCAGGGACAGGACGAGGGGCAACAGACACAGGCTGGAACATGGGAATTGCCACTGGAATACGAGGAGGAACTCTGAGGGTGACAGAGCCCTGGGACAGGCTGCCCAGGGGCTGTGGAGTGTCCTTCTCTGGAGATATTCCAAACCTCCCCCCTACCCCGTGGAATGTGCTCCAGGGGATCCTGCTCTAGGGGGAATTTGGACTAGATGATCTTTAGAGGCCCGTTCCAACCCAATTCCATGATTTCATGGAAAGCCCCAAATTCTCCCTCAAGCCTGGTTTCTTTTGCTAAAGCCTGAGAGGGAAATTCAACCATTTACAGCCAACCCTGCTTCCTGCAAAAACAACACCCCACCCCACCACAAACCCTAGGGCTACAGCTGCACAGTTTGTGGAGGGTGGAAGCTGAAGTGTCTCTTCTGGCCATGCCACAGCAGCCCATCTCCATAGAGTGAGGAGTTTAAATTCCTTGGAGAAGCAAAGAGGGACCCAAGCCACCATTTTCCCAGCTCACCTGCACGAAGAAGATAAAGTGCTTGAAGGAGGTGTTGAGATGGGCCTCCTCCTGCAGCCTCATGACTGAGTCGAAGTGCTGGTGGTAGATGTGGGCGTATACCCGGAACAGCCTCTTCAGGATGGTCTTGGCCACTGACATGAAGTTCTTGGGGAAAGGGACACCTGGAAGGCACCAAGAGGGGGTCTTCAGCTGGGTGAAAAGGCCCTAAGGCAGCCCGGCCAGTATCACTGTGCTTACCTATCTTGGAAGGGAAGAGGGTCTCATCATCCAGCTGGTCCTGCACCCAGGTCATCAGGTAGTCGATGTACTTGGGGGCCGAGCACTTGATGGGCTTCTTGATGTTGGTGCCATCTGCCCAGTGGTACTCATACCTGTGGGAGAGGGAAGGGAGAGGAGCTTGTTGCTCCCTGAGGAAAAAACCATGCATTTCCAGGCCCTGTGGCTGTCTCCTGATCACAGAATGGTTTGGGTTGGAAGGGACCTTAAAGATGATCAGGTTCCAACCTCCCTGGTATGAACAGGGACACCTCCCACCAGACCAGGCTGCATGACCTCATCCAACCTGCCCTGCATGAACCTCCCTGGGCTCCTCTGGCCTCTCTCCAACAGCTCCACATCCTTCCTGTGCTGGGCTCTCCCCTCACACAAGATCATTGACTTCCCTGAGTGACCATCCCCAGGGCTGCACCTTGGCCAGAGGCTTTTGGAGGCCACCACCTCATACCCACACGGGTATTTCTGGATCCCACAGCTCCTGTCACAACACAACCCACCCTCTGTCCTCTTCTGCAAAAATCCTTCAAAAGCATGAAGGAAAAAAAAACAACCCACAACCTACATTTTGACTGTCAGCTTCTGACTGACAAATGAAAAGAACTGGTGCCATTTCAACAGGAAGTGGTTACAGGAAACGTCCCCAAACACAGAAAGAGGAACTTGGCCATCTAGATACCCTGGGGAGGAAAGCAGGGCAGGATGTCACGCAACACCCAACACCTTCTGCCCAGCCAGGCTCACTGCTCTGCCCCAGAACAGCAGCCCAGAAACCCTTCACCTCAGCAACACACACCAGTGCACAACCAGCAGGTGATACTGTTCTCCTCGAGGGTATTCACACTTCACTAGAACAACCAGGTGCCCCAAATGCACCTTCATCGTTTCTTTTTGGATGCCTTGACCTTGTCCCACAAACCAGCCACGCTGTGTCAGTGTCTTCTGACATCCCACCCCCTGCACCACCAGGGAATCCAGAGCCAACAGCCCCAGCAACTGCCTCAGGACAGGACACCCCTGGTGCCCTGTCATAGTCTGTCCCAGGGTAAGGACACTTCAGGCCAGGTGACAGCAGCCTGGGTGCAGGGTAGGGGTCATCAGGAGCCAGGAGACATGTGGCTGGTCCTGCTGCAGGGGCTGCACTAGGTCCCCTTCCCTGACCGACCTCCCAGCAGCAGCAGCACTGGGCACTGCCCCACCCCATCTGGCAGCACCTTCAGTCACCCCTGCTCAGAGAAACCTCATGGAGAGAAACCTCATGGAGAAGAACCTCACTCTCCACACCAGCCCAGTGAGATGGTCCACCAGGGGGTTCCTCTAAGACTGTGACAGTAAGAACAGACCCTTCCAGTCCAGTCAGATCCCTCATTTTCCTTAAACCACTTCAACATCACATCTTTCAGCTTCCAGACAAATCAGGGGCCTGATCAACAGGGGGAGAAGAGGTCAAGGGTTTCTCTAAGACTGTGCCAGGAAGAACAGGCACTTCCAGTCCACTCAGATCCCTCATTTTCCTTCAAACCATTTTAAAAACATATCTTTCAACTTCCAGTCAACAGGGGGAAGAGTTTCTCTCACCATGTTCAACACACCAGCCAGGTCCCTCCCCAGCAGACAGATGGAAAAACCCCACCAGGGAACCACAAAGCTGCACCTTGATCTGATCTCTTCACCTCCCATCCTCTTTTTAGCTCCTCCCTCCATGCACTGAATCATCTCCCCCTGCCCCCTTCCCCACCTGCAGCCCCCACAAACCCCCACCTTGGTCCTGCAGACATGACAGAGCAGCTGGTCTCCGTGCAGAACTCCGTGATGGTCCCATAGAGCATGTTGATTTGGTTGAAGAAATCCACAGCTGGAAAGGAAGAGGAGCAGCTGGAGCCCAACGTGCCAAGACAAAGCCCAGGCCTGGTTCTCTCTCCTGCAGCTGATGCAGCCCCCGAGGATCCCCAAAAGCTCTTGGTGAAAAACACCCCCCTCTGCACGACCTCACAGGGCTGGTGACTTCAAAACATGTGAACCATCCAGAATTCCAACTGCTCTGTCCAATCTTCACCCTCCAGCTACTGCCCCTGGCCCCTTTCACACAATCATAGAACCATTCATATTGGAGGAGACCTTCCAGATCATAATCCAACCACCACAACCACTAAACCTGAAGCACCACATCTAAACCCTTCTTGGACCCTTCCAGGGATGGAGACTCCAGCCTCTCCCTGGGCAGCCCATCCCAAGGCCTCACCACCCTTGCAGTAAAGATATTTTTCCTAATACCCAACCAAACTTGAACCCATTTCTTCTCATCCTATCACTAGTTACTTGGCAGAGGAGATCACAGGAAGCTCCACTTCACTTTCCACACCTTGGAAATGAAGGATTTAGGTTCCAGATACCTTTAAAAAAATGACAGCACCTCAAAACTCAGGCTGATTTTGATAACTGAGGAGACTTTCCTTGGGCTGACCACTTGAGGCCTGATTCTTCCAGGGCTCAGAGCTACCTTCTCCTCTAAAGAGGAAAAGTTCAAGGCCAGGGTCAGCAACAGCTGAACATACACCTGTAGTAGTTGGCTTTTTAAATGGCAACAACATAAAAGCTAGAAAACAAAACAAATAAAAAAGAAACTCCACAAACCTGGAGAGTTCAGTGGAGGGAACAGATCTGATTTTTTCTTGGAATGCAGCTCCCAGCCTTCCAGGCACTCCCCCGTTCACAAACCCCATCCCCCTTCACAAGCCTGAACTCAAGAAGAAAAACACCCCCAAAACCACAACAGTGCAGGTTTGCTCCTCACATTTTTGTGCTCTCCTGGAGCCCCAGGCCCCTTTGCCACACGGTTATTTTCCTTTTCTCCTAACTCTGTTACCTAAACACAGGTAGGTAGAGTCATTTGGGAGAGTTCTAAGTTCTTTTAAGGATAGAAAACAGGGATTTGGGGTTTTCCCAGTCTCTGCTCAGGTCCCTCCTTCCCAGGACTCACTGTTGACTGCAATCCACTCGTTGAG